TGAAAGGACGAAGGGGGCACACGGGAGGTTATAGGGGAGAAGGGGATGTCAGAAGTGCTGGCGTGGCTGGTAAGGGCATAGCCAAAGTCCCAAGTCTGATGTGTCTCTGTGGACATTCCCTCACTAAATGTTATTATTATTTCTGCTTTTAAATCTGCACCACCCATACGTGCTGAAGACAAGGACTGCCACCCACCCCGATTCGGATTTGACTCAGATACTGCACGCTAGCACTGCAAGGCTCTCTCTCCTTACGTTTCACAAGCTGCCTTTTTGACTGGGTAAGATAAGCCAGCCTTTTTACTTTTTGTGTGCCATGAAATGACACTGCACTTAAAAAAATACCCTCAAATTCCAAGTGCTTATCCTACGGGGGAATGCTGTCAAGCTGGACGCCCTGCAGAAATAAGGTAATCAAGGATGGATAAATCTCTTTGCACTGTGCTGGTTCTGAGGGGATTTATGGCTTTAGGAGGAGAAAAAATAGAATGAGTGCCTGTTTTGACAGCCACGTAAAACCTGCTTCGCTTCACTCTGAACAGGCAGGAAAATGAAGACTAAGGGCTGCCAAGGTAAATCCAAATAATGAGGTCATCTCATGGGGTCCTGCCTTCTCCGCATTGCCCAGTGCTGGAGAGACAAGGATTCGTTTTCAGATTTTGATCCGATCTCTGCTCTCCTTCTTACAAGAGAGGAAGGGAGAAGGAATCTTTTTGGCAATTAAGGAGAGACAAAAAGAGATTTAATATATACAGTAGACCACAAAGTCCTTGTATTTCATCCTCCAAGACTTCATCTCTTTCTCAGTCTGCAGAGAGCGGGCTGTTAGGATGCACACTTAGTGAAGGCCAGAAAGAAGCATGGGGATGTAGAGGACTTGTCTAGGAGGGAAGATGAAAGAGACTATACAACTCAGCGAGGAAAACCAGGTGCTACAGCAGCACTCTCTGCTGATTACTCTCCTTTGTGCAATGCTCTTCTCCAGAGCACTCCCCCACAACCTTGGCTCTCCAGCTGGTCTCCCAGAGCAACACCCAGCACCCGTGAGCCCGGCAGCAACAACCAAGGTTTCCAGATAAGGGCTCAGCTACTCAGACACCAGCAACAGCAACATCATCTCTTACAAATCATGACAGCAGCTAGTTTTTATTCAGGGGCAAAAAAAAATGATTCTCTAACTCACTGATTGTGGTGAAGACGCTTGTGAAGCAGAAGTAATCCACAGCATTGAGTGAGAGCAGGTGATACAGAAACTGTTCCCGTTCTTCTTCACAGCGCAGGAAAGCATAACGCTTGTAAAGTTTCCTGGTAGAAACAAATACATTGTTTTCTTGTTGAAAAAGCACCATGTATCTTAAAAGGTGTTTGAATCTCAAAACAGCAAATGAAGAGTTGATCTTCATGGGAGGCATGAAAAGTGAGACTCCCCAGCTAACCCAAACTGCTAGAAACCTATAAGGGGCATTTACCCCCTATGCAACACGTGTTTTACAGACCGCTCTCAGCTCCTCGCTACCATAGCAAGGCTACAGAGTTCATCTCATTAAAGGATCAGTTTTCGTTTTGCTGCAAAGCACAGCTATATACTAAGACTGCTCACAATAGCAGACCTGAACCAACATACAGCAACCTCATTTCTTCCCCATCTCTTCCCACTGCGTAATACCCTTGTCTAATAACCTAATCTTCCTTAGAAAACTAACCAGAAGGCACCAAACCACGGAAGGCACCAAGCAGCAGCAGGGTCCTCCTGCCACTCTTTCATTTCGGCAAACTCGGTGTACATCACTAGTCGCCCAAAGCAGTGCAAAGGCACATCAGGAGTTAACCTGGACCTGCTCTGAGAAAGCACAGAGCTTGCAACACTGCCTGCAGTCTGAATGCAACAGACTCCCAAAAAGCCGCTAAGGTAGATAGATGTAGACGAAACTTCAGGAAAAGACAGGTCTGCCACCACGCTTTCAGCTGATCACCCAAGAGGTGACTGTCTCTAGCTACTCCTCTTTCTTCCCGTTAGCAGATTTGAGTATTTGGTAGCTTCTGGCATAATCACACGTGTAACATCACAGAGCCAGTTCTGCTAAGAACTGCATGCAATAGCTAGGACGTTTTCATAAGGTTTGGGGTTTTTTTTCCTAAATGCATTGCTTTGAGAAAATGAAGTCGGGGAACATCTACACAGGCAGATCCTTAAGTGCCTGTGCTTGCAAAAGGAGGCAAAGCTGGGGGAGTTGCTAAGTGGCTGGGAGGGCTGGCCTCTAACCCAGCCCATCGGCACTCAGGATGGGGGCCTGCGTTTGGCTTGAGTCAACGTTAAGCAGGACTGCTGTGAGAAAAGGGGCATTCCTCCCTGCTGCTTCATTTGCACAAGATATAGTGCTTGTAGGGCCGCAAAGCGGCTTGGATCGATGCACTGATCTGACCAAAACCTAACATCTCCTTCCTGAAAATTGTGATTTGTTTTTCCAGGCAGATGAGCAGACTCCTGGGCTGCTGGGCAGGCAGTACCTCCTCCCCCAGCTACCCTCTGCCCTTCAATCACTTCGAGCTGGAAACCACAGTACCCAAACAGGGCGCCTGACTGCGCCCTGAGCCTGCACAGCACCTTGACACACCAGTGAGGAAGACATGCAAGCAAAGCTTTGAGAAAAAGAGCCAGCTTACTTGGCAAGTGCCTGGTTGGAAAGCAGCTGCTTCAGGTGCTGAGACAAAAGCTTCTTCTCCAGAGAAAGCCTTATCCAGGCTCGGGCTCGCCCCACATCAGTCTTTATCTCACTCATGTTCTGAACATGCCTGAAATGGGTAGGAAAAAAAAATAATTATTGATGAATCATAAAAATCCTACATGCTTCAAAGGGCAACATCCAGTGTGATGCAGCAGCTGAATTGGAAAACGTCTCCTGACATCATTTCTAGAGAAAGAGACCCCCAGCAGAGCCCTGCACTGTGGCACTGAGACCCCTGGCAGCCCCAGGCTGGCCCAGGGACGTGGGGCAGCCCTTCCCTGGCACGGCAGGCTGCAACCCGGATGCACTACAGCCCCTATCAGCTGCTCTGTGTCCTGGCATTTGCTTGGCCAAGGTGAGCAGGGGTAGATCCGCTCATCCCTGCGTTGCCTGAGGTAGATGTCCTCATGGACACTGCTAACGCTTAAAAAAAGCGGCCAGCTTGCGAGACCCAGTTATATCACAGTCGCTCCCTCAAGCTGCTGACACGAACGGGTATGTCTGGGAGGGCAGAGGAAAATACACATCTTAAGAGTTTCTCCAAACCACAATCTACTCTGAAGTCTCTAACAAACCCCTTGATGGCAGCAGCAATGGGAAATCTGAGAAAGAGGGGATTGTTGGGGCAAAAACAGAGACAGGCAGTCACAAGCAGAATCACATTTTCAGGGATATGAGAGGCCCTCGTGTAAGTGATAATCTCAACAGCCCTCCACATGCTTGGTCTGTAGGAAAGCAGAACTGTCCCATAGGGGCTTTCTTCTATGGTTTTGCTTTTCTTTTTTTTTTTTAAACTTCCCACATTTCAGTTTGGAGAATGCCAGAAACCCTCATTTTAGAGCACAGGGAGCTTTAGAAGAGGAAGAGAACTGCCATGGCAGGGCAAAGCTGCTTCCAAAACCCCCCCACTTGGTTAAATAAACAGCAAGAAAAAACGAGTAACAGTTTCCAGCAAGAGAAAGAAAAGGGTGCAATTTCTTAATTTTCACATCGTTTGCATGTTAAGTGCACAGGCAGTTCAGCCCTCCAAACCTCCGTGGCAGGCTCCAAGTATCATCAGCTGAGTCTGAACTGATCTCTGTTGCGATTTACTTTCCAACTCTGTGCATCTTCCTTGAAGGCCCTCCATGCATTGATGAGCGTTAGGGAATGTGGCAATATTTACTCCAAAGAAAATCCAACAAAGTCATGCTGTGTCTGATGCTTTCTACATTAACCAGTATAGTCTCGCTGTCTCGTGCTTTCCCCCCATCTGTTATACCCAAGCGCGTGCTTTGCGTTATATTTAGATCCTGCATTATTTGAGAAAAATACTCTTGTTTATAGAGCTTCTAACATAATAAGGCTAGGCTCTTAAAGGCAAATTTGCAAAGTACAACTTAGCGCTGTCCAGAAATACGTGTTCGCTCTGCACAAGTGAAGTGGATACCAGACATAGCTCAGCAGCACTGTTCTCCACCAGGCTGACCTACAAAATACAGGTCTACCTTTGCAATCCAAGATGAGGGGTCTGTATCACACAGCTCTGTGCTGTACAGACATATCTGAAGCACCATCAGGAAGAAACAATCAATAGGAGTAATGGTTGCTTGCCAGTGGCAAAACGTAGGCTACTCAAAAACCCTTTAAAAAAAAGGGAAAAAAAAATATTTTTAAAGAAACTTTCCTCCTGTTTCCTAACGTGACACATGGATAGTTCTCTGATGGACTAGGCAAGAAGTACTACCTCTCAGTGAGCTGTAAAACAAACCCAGGAGGGCACATTACACTCACGTACAAGTCCCTGCCCTTTATAAGCAAGCTCAGCAGCCTCCCTCTGTCAGCAGCGATGCCTACCAGCTAAATCACTGCTGAGAGCCTGGCTCTTGGCATTGGAAAGCCCTTCCTGGCTCAGAGTGTGACAGCCAGCATTAGACCTTCCAGCCCAGACAGCTGGGCACGTGATCCGGAGTCCTTGAGAAACAGGATGCGCGCTACACTCCACTACATGGTGTTGAGACACCCTCCTCAGACATTTCAAGTCTTTTGAGATGGGAAGATCAAAGCACAGACTATCATCTCCCTCCCTCCCCTTCCCCCCAGTGCTCGGCTTGAATTACATCTAATATGAAACACTGACTAGAATACGTTATTTTACTGTGGGAAGATTCAAGTACAGATGGACTCAGCCTTATTCCATGCATGCTCTGTACCTCTTCATTACCTGTTTCTGGTTCAGACCAGATTGGTGTTAATTGTGCATTTGGGAAAAATAAGGATCTGCAACCATGCAGCTTGCCAGAAACTTTAAAAAGATTCAGTAATCAGTCTTGCTGTCAGCAAAAGCAGAGTGTAACAGAATAGAGCATTCAGGAACTCAAATTTATTTCGCTCTCAGTTGTGAGAGTCAGAACAGCTCTATTTTTATCGGTGACCTCAGCGTAAGCACTGTATGCTCACCATCACACAGCAAACTCTTCTTGTCAGGGCACTGAACAGCAATTTCAATGCAACTCCCTAGGTTGGGACTTGCTTTTAATCCCATTAGTAATAAAGAAAAATCTATTTTCCCTGTCAAATGTAAGCCTGCGGTATGGCGAGACATACCCTCTGTAAATAGCTGTGCTGACAAGAGGAGGTTACAGCTGCTCAGTATCGCCATGCCCCTGAGGAGGGTGTGAATGCTCCCGATCCCAGCGCAGTCAGAAACAAGCCATAGTAGCTCATCCTGTCTTTGCTAACCCAGCTTCTTTTGCCTGCAGCAGGTTAAGCATCACTGCCATGGGCCCAGCACCCAGGGCTCGCATCCTCCACTGCAAGCTCCCTGCAGGAGGGGAGACACGAGACAGGCATGAAAGCAAGCGCTGGTAGCAAGGAAGGGCTTGCCCGAAGGGGAAGGGACCTGAAACTTGAGCCCAGCTGGACCAAAGGTTTTGGGGAGTTGCCTTGGCGCTGACTGGTCTGGCTGGACGCGCAACGATGTGCCTGAGGGGTGAGGCCATGCAGGAGGCAGGCTGCAGCAGGAGTCTGCCGGGGAGCTGGAAGAGGGGTGGGAGAGATGCTGCAGATCCTTGCCCGGCGGCAAGGCTGAAGGGCGTACCCCCAAACACACTTGTGCAAAGCCTCTCCGTGCAGAGAACCAAAATAAACATCTTGAGCATCTTCCTTACCACATCTAAGATGCCTAGCTTTGTGAGGGAGGCAGCGGACATACAACGCTACCTGTAGCACAGGCTCATCACACATTCAGAGCGTGACTGTGATTCAGCCCCGCTTTTTAAGTTGTTTACATAACCTTGCATGAGCCATCAAAAACAAGCCATGCTTAAGGCAATGCTTAATCCTCTAGCCATTAGTTCAGTTAGCACTGCAGCCCCGGCAATTTAACAATTACCCATCCTTCTAATTTCACCATAAATTTGTGTGTGCAAACAAATATTAAGCAGCATTTCTTCCAAGCAGGAGAAAGTATGCCACGAGATTACGGATGACAAATTCAACTCACCATCTGCCCAGCATTTTCTAAGACCAGACATGTTTGTGGGCAATCATGAATACCCAAGATATTACAAAAGGTAGTGTTCTGCTTCTGTACTTTTTCTCTGAAAAGCAGTGGAAGCACTCTTGTGATTCAAGCAAGAGAGCTCAGATCTGTGCTGGGCTTTCATTACTCAAGTGGAAGTACGCGGAAGACGAAACCCATGCGCGCAGCAGCGAGCGCACACAGCCTCCTCTGTCGGCACTCCCCCCCAGCACGCAAGTTTCCACTCCAGATCCTCCTTCATCCTTTCCTCAGACCGACCCCCTACATGCCCGCCAGCCTCACAGGACTGAATTAAGTAAATAGCTGCCACGTCCCATGAGAGGGACCTAAAATGACAGGCACGCGTTCAAAATGACCTCTTGGCATTATACTCCTAATTACACTGTATGTATTCTCCCTCTCTCTTTTGCATGTTGTTTTAGCCTTACGTGGCATGTCATATTCTTCGAAATCAGAGCACAAGACTCAAACCACATAGCATCAAACAAAAAGGTTGCACACTGCAGGTGGGAAGTGCAGTCGTTTGCTGTCATGGAAGTCTGACTAATCTGAGTGATCTCACATCAGAAAAAAATATATCTGTAATAACACACATGGCAAAAATCACATCACTATAATTATGTTTTTGTGAACTAACTACAATTAATCTTATTTTTACCATAAGATTTTTTTGTCATATTTTTATGTGGAGGAAGGGCATGGTATTACAAGAAACAATACTCATGTTGCCTCACACATTAAATTGCTAGCAATTGCTAGCAGCTCTCTACAGATGAGCATTATTGCATTACTCCTCCCCTCTTTTCATGGCACTTTTACCCCACTGCAACCCTTAGCCATGGCAAGTGAAGTGTCAAAACAGCAGCCTGACCTGCAGTGGTTTAATCAAGGAGATGCCTTGAAGAACTTCTGCCTGGTGCTGTCACATCAGCCTCCACCTATTCCTACTCTCTAATCCTCCCGTTTCCCAACCAACACTGCTTAAAAAGCTCTCCAGAGCCAGGCGGTGGTCTCCTACAGAGCACCTGCCCTTACTTCACATTCCAATTTTAAAGTTACCCAAATACCAGGTTTGATTACATTTCTAAATTTGTGCATTTATTACTATTTGCCATAAAATGTTAATTGAAAGGAAAGAATACTGCTCAGGCATTGCGAGCAGGTTTTTTTTTGTCCCTTTGCTTTGTCTATCAACTGTACTTGCTTGGTCAGTAATTTAAAACAAAAAGAAACAAACTCAAAGTTCCAAGGAATTCAGCATATCTGCTGTTATTTGTAGAAGTTGGCTTTATTGCTAGAAGAACCCCCCTGGGAAAACAAAAGCCCCAGTAAAATTGGTGTGTTTTTCATTGTCTTTTAGCTAAAATGAACCAAGTAAATATGCAAGGAAGTTTTGTAAAACAAAAAGGCAACACTTTGTAGATTTGAATGTGGGCTAAGGAGAAGGTTTAATTTTCCTTAGCTTTTGTAAACCCAAAGCCAGTGAAGATCTTTACCTTATGCTACACAATTAAACCCACAATTAACGCTTTAGGAAACAAATTGTGTACCTCATATCTTGTATCAGGGAAACCCTCAGAGTAGGCAGAGTAATTCCTGTATCAGACTTTCGTCTTTCTGTTCCAACAGCAACTACAGTGGAGAAAATATATGAAGTTAATACAAAATTACAGTAATGGTCTACAATGCATTTGTTTTACATCCAGCTGAAAACAATCTTAAGTGGTTGGTAACTGCAATGTTTCTGTGGACTATCATTAACTCTACCCTGGAAATGCAGCAGCAGACAAAATGAAAATTGCTTAATACATTATCTATTCCTTCCTTAATCCAGCACTGAACTTGGGGATGTAGCTTCCTTTTTCGTATGTGAAATACATTAACATAAATCTGTATGGCGATGAGTTTTATTAGAAATTTGTTTTTATGGAAACCTCACAACTGAGAAGGACATGATAAAACTAAGCTACAGTAGCTTATTAGATGCTAAGAATGCCACGCATTTCTGTGCTCTGCTACTCTGATCAAACTGCTTTGTGGTAACATATTTTGCTCTCAGGAATTTGTGCCTGCCAGCCAGGTTGCCTAGTGCATTACTCATTGAAGCTTATTAAAAAATCTTTTCGTGAGCGAGACTAGTTTGTCCATAGATTGTGTCATTGAGGACTGATCATACAAGTTCCCATCTGCAGGATTTGGAGGATTGCAGAGTCCTTGGAAGATGACCCACTAAAGTTCAGAGACTTTTACTACAATACCAATCAGCAGTCTGCGGGCAGGGAGATCTCAAGGTCATTAGAAAATCTCTCATAACACAGAAGTAATTTAGTGATTGTAAAGGGCCAAATCAAAGCATAAACTGAGTACCTGGACTGATGGATAGAGATTAATTACACAACTTCTGAATTGTACGGTCCACCAGTACAAATATTTATTGAAGATGAAGTTATTCACATTGGGATTTGAGAGACAGATTATGCTCACTGAAAGAAAAATGTCAGCTGTCTTAGCCACAGCTCCACACCATCAGCTACTTCAGAAATCATCTCTTGCAGAAGCACTGCTTCTCACACCTCACTCAATGCTAATTAAAAGGGAATGAAGGTAGCAAACAGACATCGAGTGATTTTCTAGACAGGGATAATAAGTATGTTCATTTGCCTCCAACGATGTCAATCTATTTTGTCCAGACATCAAGGCATCTTCATAATGATTATGAAAGGTCTCAAAATGTAAGTGTGATATTAGCAAGCAAATACACCGAAAATCCTGCATGGGTTTCGTGTGGGTACACTGTTCCTCCCAGGCCCGAGTTCCTTCGCTGTGATGGACCCTTCATGGAGTCAACTGCCGAGTACTCACCTGGGGACTCTGCACTATGGTCTTGCTTCTCGTCTCTCTCCTGGTACTGAAGTAAATGGGACCACAAAGCAGATTTCCCCTGAAAATTGAATATGGAGTATGCAGCTTTAAATAAATGAAGCAAAAGAAAAGAGGCCAGCGAACATGGCAAAATAATGGGATGGCATTTCAGTGGGCCAAAAGCTCAGTGGTGAGAGTCAATCCTTCTCTTGGGCCATGAGACCTCAGGAAGAGGAGAGGACCATCCCACTGACCTAGCAGACACACCACCCACCTTGTTTCTTTGTCCTCTCCCTGGGTTTCTATTTTGAAGGTTGAAAGAGAAGAAACCAAACACCTATTTGACAACATCATTGCAATTTCCAGAGACACCTCCCAAAACAAACCCAACAAGCAAATAAACAAACCCCACAAAAAAACCCCAAGACCTCAGAAGATATGAACCAGGGACTCTGATCCCAAAGATACCTCCCACTTAACGTTGGAATGGTACCACTGAGTAGCCACTTAAAGGGTAGAGATGGCATTCAGTATTTGCTAGAGTACTGTACGCACAAAGTCCCGAGTTTCCAGTTACCAACCTGCTTGACCTGCAGACCATGGCTCCAGATTCTTTCTAGCAGATCACAGAGACTAGCAATCAATGTATTTTCCTCCAGACCTGTTATGTTGGCTTCTCCATGTCCCAGTTCGACTGCTTCATGGCCCATCTTCTCTACCAACATGCGTTTAGTCTTCAAAAAAAAAAAAAAAAATCCCCAAAGGTTTGTAAGAATGTTATCCAACAAGGAACAGAATTTATAGCTGAGTTTAAGTAAACATGCTTAATCTAGAGACCATCGCTAATAGCCTGACCAGAGAAACTTCAAATCTCTTTATAGAGATTGTAAATTAAAAAGAATAATTAAAAAAAAGTTTGCATGATTACTCCATACTGTCCTATTTCTATATGCTTTATCTATTGTCGTATTTCTACACCGTTGATCTATTACCGACCGGTATCAAAAACAGAGTACAGACCTAGATACATTTTCGGTCTTACTCAGTATCTGTTTTTCTTCTTGTTACAGCTATTGAAGTTTAAAACTCAGGTAATAGAGTATACCACCAACTGCAACCGACACAAAGACACAAAGAAATTATACTTCCATGGCTATAAAAGCTTCTTTAATATTAGAAACTGCTATACTTCGTTTGTTCTGCATAAACAACATGCACAACAGTCGCACATGCTGAACGCTTCCTTTTTTGACCGTGGGTCTCAAGTCCGTTATGTTTAGGCTACATTTACATATAAACAATTAAAGAAAATCCTCCCTAAGATGTCTGATCATGCTGATTCTCCTTCCTCTCCTTTTTACTCGTTTCACCAACTTTGACTGCATAAACAGAAGAGCGATAATACATTTCTTTCTTTTCTAGCAGTTGAAAAATGTAACGCTAAAGGGACATCCACCCTGCAATAGCCTGCTACACCAACAGACCAACGCCGCTCCCGCTGTGAAGGACTTTCAGGACACCATCGACAGATGCTATTTAGGCTCAGTGTAAGCAAGGGAAGAGCAGGCAGCGGGAAAGGGGAGGACCTACCTTCATGCGACATTCCTTCAGTAACCCTTCCACAAATTTCCAGTTGGTCTGCGCAATCACAGCTGGAGAGAGGTCTGAGAGTTTGGGCTGCCTTAAATTTTTTCCTAAACTCCTTGCCTCCTGCATGTATTTCTAAAAATAAATAGAATAATTTTAGATATTACAAGTCAGAGGGATTCTCCTCATCCTAATCCTAGGCAAGCAAATGCTGGTGAAAAGGAATGAGCTAGTGTTAATCTAGGAACAACATCATTACTTGTCTGATGCTTAGGTGTCGGGCTGGAGAAGTGGAATGCTCCCTTTTGACAACAGAGAAAGCAAGATATTTTCCCGTGTGGAACCAAAACAGTCAACGTTAGCTAGTGAACTGTGCTGTTAGCCACTAGCACGAAGTTAGCCACAGCATGTGAATACAAGTGCGATACCTTCATTCAGCAATAAAGTAAAAATACCAAATAAGTTTCTTTCCATTGTTATTTGATTCTCACTTCAAAAAAACAACAAAAAACCCCCCCACCAAACCCATTTGTCTAATTTGTGACCAGACTATACAGGAATTGAAAAAAATCCTTTGAAAATAAATTACAAGAAGCAGAAATACACTTAAGTGAAGGAGAAAGACTTCATCCATTACTTTTCATGTGGATAGTTAATGTGGGAAAAAAATCAGACTTGATTTTATTCTCAATTAACTTCTTAATTACAAGTGAAGCTCGTTTTAAACAAAACTGACATTTAGGAACATTCCTGTTTTTACTGTGGGGTGGTAATTGAGAAGTATGGACAAAAATTGGCATGCTCTTTAAAAAAAGGATCTGAGCTATAGCAAAAGACTTTCAAACCTTCCTGCTGCATTGCCTTACTGTTCAGGGCTTCTTTTATTGTTTGGGTTTTTTTGTTAAGCAAAAAACCCCAAACCAATCAAAGTGTCACCTGCCCCCAACATCAGTGAGAGGGCTACATGCTGAGCAAAGCTAAGAAGTTGGACAGATTTAGGTGTGCAAATATGAAGCCTATCAAAAAGTTGCTCAAGCATTATTCATAAGGTTTTTGTTAAAAAGAGTAAAATAATAGAACGTTGCCAAACAAAACAGCCTTGAAGCACAGCGCTCATAGCCTGGTGTGGGAATGCTCCATTTCCATAGTGTGTTTTTATCCAGTTAATGCTGCCTCTTTGGTGGACGGTATGTGACAACGACTGCTCTTCCCCCGAGAGGAGCAGATCACGCTCCTCCAGTGACTTAGCACTGCTGCCGGCTGGGTTTTCTGGGGAACTGAGAGGACACTACGGCTGCTGCATAGTCAGACCTTTCTATCTGGGGAGAAAATTATTTATTTAGTAAAAGCAAAATCCAAACACATTGAAGTTAATTGAAATTGCTCGCCTTTTTTTTTTTTTTGTTAATGGGGGAGTACAGTTTTTCTGACTCATTTGCATTTTTTCAATACAAAATTCAGACGTGAACCACTTAACATCAGTCCCACAAGTCAGACAAGAACGTCGGGTTCTGCTGTGGAAAGCTGTGTTCAACAAAAGTGCTCAGCTAAGTAATTACAGTTTCACCAATACTGTAAAGACTTAAAAATAGTTGAAAAACTACATGTGGGAATAAAAAAAAAAAAAAAATCACAGATGATGAAAGCGTGTTGTTCAGCAAGCAATCTCACAAGTGACTTCCATCTAACTCAGTGCAAAAATTAGCAATGAAAACAGTGAAAAAGTAATACAGGGAATATATAATTAGGGAATCTAATATTTCTTTTTAAATGTAAAGGGATAAATAGAATGCAAAGTGCGGTTATAGTCTGAAGAGTACAAAACATGGGTAACCTTACTTTATTAATTTTATGTCTTGTTATTACACTAAAATAAAAAATAAAAAATTATTAACTCTTGTAAGTTCAAGAGAAGAATAAGGGTGGGGTGAAACATCCAACTGATTGCCCTTTGCCTGTTCATCAGCATCCACACACCACCACCCTCTTCCACACTGGGATGCAACGATCCAGCAGTCAGAAAGAAATGCTTTTTGGATTTGACACCCTAAGGTGAACTGCCATGCAAGCAACATGGGAAAAACCAAAGCAAAACAAAATTCTCATCTTTCAGCCTTGGAGCCGTCACATTTGCCAGGGAGCTGGCATGGAAGCCTAGAGCTGACTTACAGCTACTTTTCCGATTATAACCACACTTCCAAGCGCTACGGGGACGTGCTCATACTCTACGAGAAAGGGAAGAGGTTTGAGAGGCAGCGAAGACAGCGGTTCCTCACGCTAACAACATCTCAAAAGCAGCTTTCAACAAGAAAAACTAAAACATACCAGGCAGCATTCAGAGAAGGATTTTTTAGGAGGCCGTGCAGGAGGGGGTGGTCCCTGATCCCACTCCCAGAAGGCCATTGAGTTCTGACGAAGCAAAAGCTCCTCCGATGGCTAAGAGGAGGCAGATGCCCCAATGGCAGAATAGCCAGAAAGAAAGAGGAGACAAAGCAAAAGAAGCATGCATATGATCCACAGCCAAAAAAAGAAGAAAGTAAACACATGACAAAGTACTGAAAAGGCTCTGCTGAGATATACACACCAGGCAACTTTTAAAATATACTTGCAAAGCCACATTAGCAAAAATAGCAACAAACATGTACAAGTGCTGTTTTGCTGTGTTTCCATGAAACACTGTTCGAAGCTGTGGTTTAAGAGTCCACTCACCCGTTCGGGTTCTTTTGGAGTGCAAATGCCAACACCGGCCAACATTATTCAGCAAGATTTACCACAAAACAGCGTGAATGTTTTATTTTTGCCAGTGACATACAAAAGAAGCACATGGACATCAATGGAAAAATATGGCAGAAAATATTTAATGAAGGACAAGAAACTGAAGAGATGGGAAAGAAATGCATGTATGTGACTGACATTTACAAGATGCATGGGAGTTTCCAAATTTTAGGCATAAAAAGGCCCCAAAGTCTTAACCTTTCAAATAGGCTTACTCATGTCAGGAATCGATGTGAGAGAGAGAGGAAAAAAAAGATTTCTTTAAAAAAGAAAAAAGTCCCGCCTCATTTGCCTCTACAGCACTGACATTTATTCAGGGACTTGACTTTTGCAGGACCTTCACCCTGGCCAGAGCTCCGCAGCTGCACCCAGGCAGGCACCAGGGCTCTGGTGCTCTCTGCGTGTGGTTACATGACTGGGGTCTATATCAGCAAATAAGCCGTTTTCCTGATGACAAAGGGGCTATCTTATTCAAAAATAATAAAAGCATTTTATTTCTGTTGTGTGCTTTGAAGTTGTACAACACATACAGGCATCTGTGACAAGCAGCGTCTAAATGAAATGGCTGCAAAGACCCACACAACCTTACGGTAGCAACAAAACTGCCCGAAGTCACAACGCATCGTTTGTCTAAATTGCATCTCCTGGATCACAAGCTCATGCCGCCCGCAGATAATGCCACTTACCTCCCTCAAGTCGTTGTCCAGCCCGATGTGCTCCGAGTGCTGCCGCAGGCGGTCTTTCCTCCGCTGCGCGGTCGTGCTGCGACTGGCCCAGCGGCTGGCAAGTCAGAGAGAGGGAAGATACACGTGAGTGGAAGATATTGGGAGGGAAAGCCTGGGTCGGGAGCCAGAGGACATCTGACAGGTCTGCAGCGGGAGAAGTGAAAGTGCAAACTTGGACGTTGCAACAGACGCAGGCGCAAGCTGGCGCCTGACCTCTCCGTGGGAAACCACCCGGGGGGTGACAGGCCAGCGCGCACCCAAGGGATGAAAGCCCTGATGGAAACGTGCCCGCTGCCTGCCAGGGTCTCCAGTGAGAGCTTCTGTGTTACCCAAAATGCAGATCATTGATGCCACCACCAGGAAAATCGTACTTGGTTACCCAACAACACCGTTTGCTGCATTTGCTGAAGTTTGATAAAAATAGTGTCTGTAGGAACAAACAAAATACTACAATGTATTTTAAGTAACAACTTCTAAAATTTTCCTCTTTTGTGAGAGGTGGTACTTCTCCTTTCTCCACTTTCTGTGGTACTTCCAGGAATTATTTCAGAGAACCTCGTCATTGCGATAGTAACTACTGTGATATTGGGTGCACCTATGTTTAAAGGTTATAAACAATATTGACTTCCTGGGATTAATCATGTTGCTATCTTCACCATCTCTTTTTTTGCATCGGGTTTTTAAATACCACAAAAAGCCTGTATTTTTTGCTACGTGTTCATATATGTCCAGCTGAATTTTTTCCTCATCTGAAGCTGTTGCCTGAAAGCAGCCACTTGGTAACCAGGTTTGAAACTGAGCAACCTTAAAGCTCTCAAGTGTCCAACCTCCTTTTATGCCAGATATTATAACAAAACACAAAACAAGATAACTCTGCCCTGAGGAATTTCTAGTCTGATTATAGAGTTTCTAATAATATCATAGCCTTCTGCCAAATCCTTGAAAACAAAAATGCTCAACTGGTGCAGAAAATAAATAAGTTAATACATTATTTATAAAAGAAAGCTGAAATAACACTGTATAAAGCAACCTATCAAGCATTAAAACCAAGTATGTTAATGCACATTAAGGCTAAATCTTCAGAATGATGTTAATTACTGTGGTTGTATTTATTAAAATTAAAAATATCTTTCAAATACAGTTAAAAAAAAAAAGCCTTTAAGTGTACAGCCTTTCAGTCGTTTCATGAAGTCAGCTGTTCTGCCCCCCTCTCAGAAGTTAAAGAGCAAAACCAAGGCAAAGCAGAACACAAAGCCCGCCCAAGGCAGCGCTCCAGCTCTGGTGCCTGGCGGGATGTATGAATAACGCTCTACCTATGGGAGGAAACTGCCTGGCAGAATTTGAAGGGATAACGTGAATCGGGAAGAAAAAAAAGAGAGAGAAAGAAAAAGAAAAAGAAAAAAACCCCCACCTCAGAACACCAAGAAAACAACACCTCACACTCCCCAACATCAGTACTTGTGTCAGAGGGACCCTCCAAAACCTGTCTCCATCCTGGTCCCTCTACTCCAGACTGAAGTGCTCATGCTGGGCACCACGCCAGAACGACTGCTGTGAGATGGCTTTTTCTACAGGAGCTATGATCAACAGGCAAAGCCCCTGCGGATTTGGGTTCTCTGCCTTTGATAGATCTATACAGCAGGAAACCTAGAGACGTCCACATCAAAGACAGAAGCGTGTGCTCGGTGAGCTCCTCCACGCCGGTGGTATTGGCGAGGACAGCAGTCTCCAGATCCCAAACCCATCTATTTCTGTGTGCACCCCAAATAAGAGCATATACAAATGGGATCTGAGCTATTTGGGCAAGGAGTTTCAGCTGGTGACACGTAGGCATATGCATGCCTGGAGGAGGAAACTCTTGCACAGAGCTGGACTTGGGTCCTGACATGTCCAGCAAGCCATCAGGGATGTGCAGGGAGGGGAACCTGACCCAAGAGAAGTGAAGGGATGGGACCCCTGGTAACCAAACCCTCCTGCTTCCAGAGAGAAAGACTTTGCATACATATACCTAACTATCTCCACCAATTCCTCCAGTGAGGTGACCAAAAACCAAATTTTGGCTAAATGCACAGGTAAAAAGGACGAAAAAAGGAGTCACAGGAACTACAGTTTTTATGGTCAGAATCAAAGTCCCTTCCTACCTTCCAAATAATGTCAAGAAAACAAGTGCAAAGGAAGAAATAAACATCTGGGACTGCATGTAATTACGG